TTTTTTTTTTTCTCTTTTTGGAGAGGTTTTTGCTATAGTGCGTGTGCGCTCGCCAGACAGAGAGAGACAGACAGAAAGCGAGAAATCACCCCCCAGGGGGGCTGGCCATGCCGTTCTCCTCTCGGGATCCTGGGCCCTCGCGCACACGCACCCAGCATGATTTTTAAGCCACCGGGTCCAGAACGGGAACTGCGGTCGCCTACATGGGAGTCCAGCAACATAGCCATTACGCTAACTGCTGGTCCCAATAAAAGAATTCTTTAAAAAATTTAAAAAAATAATGACTCTTGATACCTGTCTAAATGATAATCAATTACAGATTGATTGGAGATCCAACTATGAAAGGAAAAACAATAAAGATTTTAGAAGAAGACATAGGTGTAGGGGTGGTTAAGGTGCTGGACTTCCACATGGTCGACTGTGGTTCATGCCCTGAACCCAGTGGCTTGAAACTCACGATGGCAATGTGTACGTGTGTGTGCCCAAAAGCCCAGGAGGAGAGTGGAGAAGAAGGGACTGTAGCATGGCCATCGCCCAGGGAGGGATTTCTCTCTTTCTTTCTCTCTGTATCTCTGGCGAGCACATGTGCTCTATGGCAAAAATCTTAAAAAACAAAAACAGAAGGAGAAAATGACATAGGTGAATGTCTTCATGACCAAATGGTGGGTAAATATTCTCTAACAGGACACAAAATGTACTAACTACACAGGAAAAAAATACGAATTGAGTTGTATTAAACTTAAGAGCTTCTGTTCATCCAAAGACATTAGGAGAGTAAAAAAGGACACAAGATAACTATTGTTCTGAATCAAATAGACTCTGGTTCAAGGGCCTGGCCCTTCCTCAACCCCTCCTGTTTTCAATCTTACCTAAACATCTACTTTCAGGAGCTCCTGGGGCAGCAAACTCCTCTGTACCCTGGGAAATGCTGCACTGCCAGGTTGCTTCTTGGATCTCTCTACACCTGGCTTAGGTGCCCGCTTTCTCAGGTCTGCTAAATCAATGGTCTCAATCAGTTGTCTCACCTATCTGTCTCTTCTCTGGGTTCTGAAATTTTCTGAAAATTTCCTCTCTTGTTCTCCTTCCTTGTGAAATAAAACAAGCAAACAAACAAAACAACAAACAAAATAATCGACCCTTGCTTTCATTGGATTTCAAGAAGGATCTGAGGTAAATGTGAGGCAGGAGTGTTGGGTGATCAGACCCCACTCCCATGTCGGTTCTTGTCCTACACTCATGAAGGATTAGAGACGTGGACACAGAGGAGAGGGAAGTGGAATTAGGGAGGGGAAAAAAGCTCCTGATGCGATGGAAGGAGGTCTGAATGGGTTTCCAAAGAAGAGCTGGAGGTGAGGGGGTTTTATCTGGAGTCTGAGCAATGGGCTGGCTTTCTGATGAGGAAGTGGGGTTTAGAAAGTGTTTGTAAGTGGTAGTCTGAGTGATTTAGTACCCCATCCTTTGAAGGGTCAGCAGACCATAGCATCCTTCCTGTCAGAATACGGCTACTGAATAGAAACCGTTGCCCTTAGCTACAGTTGCTTCAGTCTCAATACAGCCGGGTTCTTGGCTGTGAAAACATAGCCACTGTGACTCCATCTTGGCCTTATCCTGTCTGTGTGCTCAGTATCCCTATATTCTGCCTTTTTAGGAAGGAGTTGTGAATTTTTTAGAGCCATGTAAAAGGGATATATGTTGTACATTAATCAGACCATAAAGGAAAAACACAGACGTTTCATTAAAAAGAAAAACATAGTGACTTCCTTTTGGGGCCCTTACCCTATCTACCTGTAAGTGAGGTCCAGCTCCTATCTCAGATGCATGTGTTCATTCTGCTATCTTTCACTTAAAGAGTTCATTGAATCTTTAATTTTGACAATTATGTTAACTTTTTAAATCTCCTGTCTTGGATTAGGTTCCCTAGAAGCAGAATCTGACTTGGGGATTCTTGGGCCAGTGCTTTAGTGAGGGTATCCTTAGAAGGGAGGAAAGTGGGAGAAGGCCCAGGAGAAGCCGAACAAAGACGTGGACCTGGGTTCCCCTGTAGGTTAGCCTCAGTCTGATCCCATGGAGCCCCAGAATGTGAAGGGTACCCTGATTTATCTTTGGGTTTTTTTTTTTAAGTCTATTTATTTATTTCTTCCATGTGTGAGAGAGAGGCCCCTCCGATAGGTTCTTCTGGCTGCAATCCATTCCCAGTCTCTGTCGCCCTGGGTCTTTGATATTCACATACCCGGAGTGCCCAGAAGGTCCTAGAATACAAACCCAGGATCTTTCCCAGGTGGGTTGAGTTGTGGTACTTTAATGCCACTGCCTGCCCTGTTCCTGGCCTTTTGTAAATCCCATAAAATTTAGCCTCTGACTGTGGCTCCCCACCTGGTCTGAGGGCAGTTGTCAGGGGAGAGGCAGCTATGGGCAGTGAGAGGACGGACCGCCTAGGAGACGTTATCTCCACAGGGAACTGACAGCATCTGTACGCTCCTATCTTCCCTGGTAGCCTAAGTGTTATTTTTCAGGGGTTGCAATAGTCTCTCTAGTCTTTCTGAAGAAACAAATAATTTTTTAAAAAATATTTTTGCTAGAAGGCATGTGTGCTGACAGGAGAGAGACAGAGAAAGAAAGTGAGAAAGCACCCTCCGGGGGGATGGCCATGCTGCAATCCAATCTATTCCATATCTCCTTTCTGGATTTTGGATATCCACACGCACACACCTCTGGCATGTTTCTCAAGCCACTGGGTCCAGGACTCAAACCACGCAGTCAGTCATGTGGGACCAGGTGCCCCCACCATCACACTGGTTAGTCCCGAGAGAAATAATTCATATTTCTTTTCTTTCCCCTAAAATTTCTCATCTTAATTTTATTTCAACTTTAGTTCACAAGCTGAAGCTCAGAAACTTAAGTTACCAAGCAGACAAAATGCACAGAACCAGGTTTAGAATCCAAATTGGGCTGATCCTAAAAGCAATGCTCTTAACCATGTTAAACGGCCTCTTTGGAGCCAGCAAGTGATGTGGTGGTTAAGGGCCAGATTCCCACATGGCTGACCAAGGTTCCAGTCCCAGGCTGCTTGTGTGCACGTGCCTAAAAGCCTGAGAGGAGAATGGAGAAAGGCTGGTGGCATGGCCAGCCCCACTTTCTCCGGTGAAGAGTAGGCACCCTAACCACCTCTTTTCTTTCTTTCTTCCTTCCTTCCTTCCTTCCTTCCTTCCTTCCTTTCTTTCTTTCTTTCTTTCTTTCTTTCTTTCTTTCTTTCTTTCTTTCTTTTTTCTCTTTTTTCTTTGTAATTGCCACAGGGTGCCAGACAGAGACACAGAGAGGGAGAAAGTACCCTCGCTAAAATGGGGCATGGTCACCTGGCAATACCTCCTCTGTTTCCCCATCCTGCAGGGAATTTAGACACACTTGCACAGCTCCTGGCGTGTTTTTCCAGTCACTGAGTGGGGGATTCCAACCATGGTAGTCCACGCGGGATAGGATCCAGCTCCCTTAACCACTACTGCTCCGGGGCCAGCCAGAGCTAGCTCTTAATGAAATAATTTCATGTTACCTGTCTACTTAAGAGCGCTAACCACTAGCTTTTGGTCTGTTGGATAGCAAACATAGTTTCCCTAACCTTTGTTACATAAAGTCGATTTGCCTGTAGTCTCAATAGATTCATCCCCGCGAGCATTAACTGAGCACCTGTGTGCTCCAGAACAGCACTGGACGCGGGTGCCGTAGACCCACACCCAGACTGCGGCTTCAAGAGGCCTGGGTCCAGCAGACGAAGTGCATATGAACATCCACAACTATTCCGGGAGCGAGACGCTGCGCCCAGGCCCAACCAAACCCGGAGCTACTGGCAGGACCTAAACCCTGGTACTTTGCTGAAGACCGGCCGGGCGCGGCTGCGCGTAACTGCCGTTCCCAAAGGTTGCTCCAGATGCGGGGCGCGCGGGGAGGGGGAACTGTTTTCCTCGAGGAGCTGTGGAGCTGTTGGAAACTTGTTGGAATCTGCTTTTATGGGAAATAGAGAAATGCCCTGAGCCATTCGGATTTCACTTTCTTCCGGAGCAGGGCCGGCTCTTGAGAAAGCGCAGTTCCCTAGAAGGAAGCATTGATTCGCCACGGGACTCGAGACTCCGGGCTCGGAGCTGCGCTGGGCGTGGCCGGCGCCGGGAGGGAGCGGGCGTGGTCGGGGACTCGGCCCTCCTAAGGTGCAGGGCCGTCGGGGCGCCCGAGTGCCCAACGGCTACCACTCGGGGCACGAGCAGGGCGGGCGGTGCCGAACGCGCGGAGCCAGGACTCCAGGTGCGATCCGCCTTAAAGGGATTTTCCGGTCCCGTGGCCAGTGGGACAACCAGGAACTTGGGCTCAGTCTCCACCCCGAAGTAGGGCGGATCCGCCCGGAGTAAGACCCGTTTCCCGGCCCCGACAGGGTGTGATCTCTGCGGCTCAGCGGACGAGCAGCAGCCCTATCTAGGCAGAGAGGTAAGGGGACTCCGGGCAGGGGTCCTGGGCTCCGGGAAGCGGACGCCGCGCCCTGGATTCCTGCCAGATTGCGGGCGAAGCCTGAGCCGCCGGCAGGGTGGGGGAATAGCCTGGGCTTGAGACCGCGGTGGGCAGAGGGAGGCAAACGCGGTTCTTGCCCACCAGCACCGTCCAGGGGGACGCCCGCAGCAGCCTGTGTAGCTGGGGTTGCCAGCCAGAGACCACGCCGGTTACTGAGTCCGTGTGCTGGGCGTGGGCATTTAAAAAAGGATTGAGGCAGTATTCCCTGGGACACCGCTTACATTTTACCTTGTCATTCTTCACTCACTTTTGAAAACTTGAATCTTTTCCCTAGTTTCTTACCCCCTTCTACCTGGCACGCAGGAACTTTGTTATTAAGGTTCCAGGACTTGAGTATGCAGAGGCAGGGCCTTAGTCTTTTGACAAGTCTTTGACCAGACTTTGAGGCTGGTCAAACGATCTGCCGACTTTCGGGGCTGCCAAAGCCGATGGAAGTCGTCTGCGAGCTGTCTGGAATTGTTTGTGGCTCCTGGGGAACCAGGCCTTCCTTGGAAACTGGGCATCTGCTCTCGCAGCTAACAGTGGGAAGGCTGGATAGGGTGGCTCCTCCAGTTTATCCACCTCATGCCCCTCAGTTCCAGGATACCCCCCCCCCTTCCATTGCAACCAACTGTACTGATAGACAAGCCCTAGCTCCTTAGGTGCAGGACATTCTCAGGAGCCTGAGAGGTGGAAGAGCAAGCAGGACTGGCTGACTGCCCAGAGCCCTGTCTGGCCAAGGCCACATCCCCTCCACATTCAGCTCAGGTCAGATTTCTGTTGATTTGGGGGTGTACACACACGTATGTGCGCACGTACGTGTATGCACAACTACTGAATGGAGGGCACCTGTGAATTTTCCTTACAGACATTCTTTTTTTTTTGAGAGATTTTTGCTATAGGGTGTGTGTGCTCCCCAGAAACAGAGACAAAGAGACAGAAAGTGAGAAATCACCCTCTCGGGGGGATAACTATGAAATCCCTTCTCCTCTGTTCTCTCAGGATTTGGGGCAACCCCACACAGGCACCTGCATGAGTTTCAAGCTACTGGGTCCAGGACTTGAACTGCAGTCAACTGTGTGGGAGTCCAGCTACATAACCATTACGCCACCTGCTGGCCCCGACAGACACTCTTATATTTCATTAGGGATCATTTTTCTCTGAAAGCAATTTGGAGTGTAAGTCAAGCCAGACCACAGAGCACTTAGTGTTTAATGGATGAGGCTCCTTATCCCCCCCCCCCCCCC